TCATTTCTCTACATGAATACATTCCTTAAATTAAGCATTCTACATCTCTCTCTATGTATACATAACTGCAAATCTTCCTATGTGTATATATATATATATATATATATATATATATATATATATGTATATATATATATATATATTTTACAAAGGGAAATCCAGCCAATAATTTTCTGGTTTTTATTCAGATGCAAGGCAAATTCTAAAAAATCTGACAGGCAAGGTCACACCTGGTCAGTTTATCTAAACCCAGTATGGTAGGGTGGCTGTAGGTCTGCATTCTGCAATTGCTGTCAAAATGATGACCAGCAACCCAAGAGCAATTGTCACCTCTTCATGGTTGAGAAAGATAGTCTGTTGTACTGAGAGTCTGGTTTATTTGACTAAATCCAAGTTAGGCCCATCTCTGGGGAGCATAATGAGTATATTTTTCATCGTATAGTTACTCTTCTGTAAGTTTATCAGGAAACAATAGCTGTTGTCAGGGAGGTGAATGAAAGTTTTATTATGAATTTGATTTCCAATAGAAGTTCACAAGAAGAGAGGAAGACGTGGGTCTGTTTTGTTTTCTTTGTTGTTTTAGATTCTTTCTGAGGGAAGAGTTGAGATTTTCACTACAGTAGACTGACCTCAGCTTCATTAGCTGGGCTTCAAACTTCTGTATCTTAAACAGAGAGACTAAGAAATGGGATTCCAAACTGGTATATCTGCTTTGAGCCTTAAGCCACCTTTATTATTGTTTCCAAAAGGAACAGAGGCATCTCTTGGCAAGGATTCTCTCTGCATTTAGATTGATTTGTAATGTATGTTTGTCTCTTTACTCTGGATAAGCCAGCAAGATAATTTAGAAAATCTGAAGGTAAAATATATTAAAAATCAAAAGCAAAATGCTACATAAACATTGGAAATTTACCAAAAATGTGTATGAAACATGATGGATAAAAATGGAAATGGAGAATAAAATTAGAAAACATTTCTATATAAATCCAAACATTTACTTTTCTTAGAATGGTATCTTACATTTCATATTCTGACCCACTGCAAAGGATTTGTACAAAATTAATTTTAATGTGATTTAAATATTTACAGAATTAAAAAAAATACATTTGCTCTCTTAGTGAAATAACAACAAATTATTACTGTTCTTCTCTTTCACTCACTTTGGGATTGTAAAGGTTGAAAGATGTTTACCTGCAGCACCTGAGCAAAACCAACATCCTTGTTTCCATCTCCTGTGGGAGGGATACAATGCTGGAGCAGGGCAAGAATGTGAGCACCTCCCCCCCTGAGGAGGAAGGAGTGACAGACATGTGATGAACTAACTGGAACCCCTATTTCCCCTCCTGTAGCACCCCTGGGGATTAAGAAATAGAAAAACTGGGAGTAAAGTTAAGCCTGGGAAGAAGGGAGGGACGGAGGGAAGGTGCTTTTAGGATTTGGTTTTATTTCTTATTTCTTTGGGTTTCATGATTTCTTTAACTCTGAAGTAAATGTATGGGGAAGAAGGCTGGCAAAGGGCACACATCCACCTTCTTTGTCTGCCCATAGGAATTACAACTTGTAAACTCAGATAACTTCTGTTGTAACTTATTGCCTGGTAAGTTATGTCAAACCCGAACCTTAAATAATAGTAATTGCAAAAGATAATATTTTATGTGAAAGATTTAAAATAAGTTTTTAAAAAACTTCAAACCAAACATCTCTCCCCCCACCACATAACACACATTTCATAAATACTGAAAGATAAAAAGTCTTGATCTAAGGAAAGTGGAGGAGAAAGTCTCCTAGGATAGAATAACTTTTGAGAGAGATATCATAGGAAGAATAATAATATTTTTATCTTCTTATGTATAGGTTTTGTGCTGAACTGAGAAATGAATCTCTATCCATGTACATTTGGATAAGCAGAACTCTATTCATCAGATGATTTGACAAATACAAACACTTTGAATAAATGTACTCTTCTAACTTAAGGGAGAAGAGACCCTCAAACAAGGATTAATTATTTAATGCTTTTACCCAACTTGAGAACCTAAAATGTTGCTCCTTTGTCACTGTTAGCTATTACAGATGCTAGGATTTCTTTCAGAAAAGGAGAGTGGAGGGAGGAAAGCAGCAAAATGAAGTAAATTATTCAGCAAATACAATTGAGACACAATTATATTTCTTTTTGTGGCAGCTCTTTATGCTTTTTTGTGTTTTATTTTTTTAATTAAAAATATGTATAGTTGCAGTATTAAGAAGCATTTAATTGTTACCCTATTTAGTTAAAAGTGCAGCACAGATTTCATGCACAGATTTGATTCCTACACCTACATCCACCCTCAGCCCCTAAACAGACAGAAAAAGTAGGGGGAAAGAGAGGAAAAGAACTAGAACAGAATCTATGTGTGAAAAACTTGGCAAAAATCATATTTTGAAATGCTGAAGTCCCTTCAGAAAAGATAGTTTCTCAATTCTTCCCCCAAGGTAAGAATATGTTTGTTTGTATATTATTCATGGGTGCAGTGGAAATTTGCTTTAGGGTCAATTTATTTATTTTTTTGTCTTTACACTGGTGTGCAGTGTATGTTTTGGATATATGCTGTCTAGTCTTAAAAATAATGCAAGTTTCTAATTTGTATCAACAGGAAAATTTCTATGTAAATATGTTATCACAATATAGACTGTTTAATTGAGGCATGCTATGTCACTATAACTCTTTTACTGAGTTGTCTCTTGGGGAACTGATTTAGCTTTCTGATAGTGAATGGTAATATGGTAATAACCACTGCTCAATCAGGACAGTAATTAGCATCAATTCTGTTTAATTGAACTAAATTTAACTGGAGTCAAGTAGTAAAGTACTGATTAACCTCCAAACTATTGATCAGTTCTCACTAATTCTCCAAAGACATGGAATAATTATATCAATAAATGACATAAATGTTTAACTTTACAAATCAAACAGTATATGGAAATATGGTACAGCATAAATAGTATTCGTACATGAGCAAAAGCAGACTGAATACATTATCTCTGTAGTCATGATTCCTTTTCAAATTTAAATTGTTTGACTGAAATTTACATAGTTGATGTAAATACCTATCTGCAGTGGGCTTTTTAGTACCTGTATATAAAGCACCACCCAATTCCACAACGACTTTGAGAGAGTGATGAACTGTAAAAGTATAGTCTAGATTTTATAATGTCTGAGAGTAATGATACAGCAGGGCAGAAAACTGCTTGACACTTGGTCTCTTACTGTTCACATCTCCATACCTGTACAAATATGCCAGAGACAAAGGGTTTCTTTTCTTCTGCACAAGATGTTATGCTAGTATATGTTTGTCTCAAAATGTTGCAGATTTTCCCAAGAGCAACAGCTGAGAATTACATCTCTCATAATTATTAGCATCTCTGGTGATTGTGTCATTCAGCATTGGATTCAAAGAGCTCAGCGCGCTTCATCACAACTTTGCACTGAGTTGCAAGCATTTTAAGAGAGTTTTTCTTTTTTTGTACTTTCACAAATTGTTAGACTTGATTATTATGCTTTTGCTTGATTTTTGCTGAAATGTGTGTGCAATGTCCACTCAGGGAAGCATCATCTATCAAGAAATGATGGCTATTCTTTCCATCTAATAATAACTTTTTTTTTTTTTTAGTTTCTAGGCTTTTCTTAACATTTCTTCATAACAGTTAAAGAGGGTCAGTGGAATTGACAACCTTGTTTTATACCTACCCCCAAGTTAAACCAATTTACTTCTCTCATGTTTTTTTCATGAGAATTTCCACAGAGATTTTGTATAATTTTTAGAACATTTTCAGCAACTCCATCCAGCTGCAGTTTCTGAAAAAGCAATATGACATCAAATGTATAAGTACAATCCATGACAAAATAAGTTTCCTTCCTTTGTACTTCAGTGGTTTCATACACAGGCTATAGATCTAACAATATTATTCCTTTTGTGTTGAAACTTCTATTGAAGTTCTGCAGCAATTTTCAGAAGTGATTATTTTTCTATAATTTTGAAAAGTAACAAGGTTCCTTTGTTACAAATAAGGACAAAAGGAACTACAGGCAGGTGTTCAGCCTTTTCCTGCATAGCTAGGATGTTTGTATATAGTATCCATGTGTCATGCTTTAACCCCAACCAGCAACTAAGCCCCACACAGCCACTCAGTCACTTCCCCCATGAGATGGGGAAAAGAAACAGGTGGCTAAAAGAAAGAAAATAACTCATAGATTGAGACAAAAACAGTTTAATACGTAAAGCAAAAGTCACTCATGCAAACAAAGCAAAACAAGGAATTTAATCACCACTTCTCAAGGGCAGGCAGGTGTTCAGCCATCCCCAGGAAAACTGGGCTCCAGCATGCACAACAGTGATTAGGGAAGAGAAATGCCATCACTCTGAATGTCCTCCTTCTTCCCATGACTTTTTATACTGAGCCATATGGTATGGAATATCCCTTTGGTGAGCTGGGGATCAGCTGTCCCAGCTGCATCCCCTCCCAACTCCTTGTGCACCCCTAGCCTACTTGCTGGTGGGGTGATGTGAGAGGCAAAATGTCTTTGATGGTGTGCAAGCCTTGCTCAACAATAGCTGTGTTATCAACACTATTTCCAGCACAAATTCAAAACATAGCCCCTTACTGGCTACTATGGAGAAAATTAACTTTATCCCAGTCAAACTAGCACAGTATGGAAACTAATGTCACAATTTTCCATTAACTCTGTTTATATTTCATTGTAGTCATGTCAGGGACTTACTCATTCTCCATTGCATAACTCATGGTCTGTTTGTTCAGTTACTGGAAGGTCTTTTTAACAAATTGTCATAGTTTGAAATTGGCCCCCCCTGAGAGTTCGAGGGGCTCAGAGGTGTTTGGGTGCCAGGGCAGTGTTCCCTGGAGAGCCAATCACCACTCATGTTGTTCGCTTCTGCTGGAAAATCATATATCACAGCACTGGAAGCTGTTGGCAGTTTTTCTGTTGGTGTCTGCTGCGTGTAGGTGGAGAAGGCCAGGGGGTGGCTGGGCTCCTTCTTCCCCCCTCTAGTGGGGAGGAGAGCCCTGCGGCCCCCAACTCTGCCTAGGCCAGAGTTAGAGACAGCATTTGGAGTGTGTGCTGTGAAGGAAGAGATTCACAGCACCTGAGGTAAGAGGGAGGAGGCCAGGCCCTCTTTCCCCTCCCTGCAGCTGCGGGACACTTGGGACAGTGCAGAACTGAACCGAGCTGCCTGTGGCCAAGGCTAGGGGGCCTTTCCCCCACCCCCCCCACTGCATTGAGGCTGTTGGGGGGTGGATTTTAAGGCTCAGCATTGAAGCAGAGCCAGTGGACGGGCTGCTGACGAAACAGCTCGGAGCCAGGGAGAGAAATCCCAGGTGAAATTGGAGACGGACCGAAGAGAGAGGCCTGGAGGATGTCTCTACCGTGATTTAAATGCAGGACAGCCGAAAACCCGGAGGAGGAATCAACGTTCCAGGATGCGTACGTTGATAAGCTACACTACAGCAGCCTACAGAATTGAGGTATGAGACTGAGAAAGGGAGATCACACAGCAGACCGAGGAGAAAGGACTCAGAGCTATCTTCTTGGACTCCGTGAGGAAGGAGGGACTTCCACAAACAGCTAGAGTTTGGTGAGGGGGGAGCGTTTGGGCCCCGAACACTCCCACAAGGGAGAGACTGGTTACTTCCCAGCCTGAAAAGGCCTCTCCTGGACTAAAGTTAAAGGGAGGGGCTTAAAAGGACTGATAGAAGTGTAATACATATATATAGAGAGCTGCTTTTAGTTTGGACAGTATATTTATTTGTGTAAATAAGTGCATATACTTCCCCTTCCCCCTATAGAAGCCTCTGGCCTGAAAGTTTTCTCTTCAGTGTTGGGATAAATCGTGGAGAGGGGTGGGGGAGGCCTGGAAATTGGATTTTGGATTTCTAATGTGGCTCAAACTGCCACACAAATGTAGCTTCTCATATACAGCATGGATACATGAAGTTTCTCCTTCGTTTCCAGCAGAGAATTAATTTAACTGGTGTTTTACAGCTCCTAGAAAAACTTTCTGCGGAGCTCTGATGATCCCTTTTTTATTTTCCTGTTACGACAATCTTCCAAGAATTCTAGCAACAGAAACAGTTGGTTATCTGACAATTCTTTCTAAGAATATTTACTATAAAAACCCCAAATCAACTGAATGTTGATACTCTGCTGCCTACTATGTATTTACTGCTGTGTCCTTTGTCACATTGTGTATTGATACCTCTTTCTCATATGTTCCTCCATATTCCCTTGACCTCTTAGTTTGTCAGTCAAAATATTCAATCAGCTTCTCTGTGGGCCACTCTTTCTTACTTGGAATGTGCTGTCCAGAAGATTATCTTTCATCTTTGTAAAGCAGAGAGAAATACTTTCATCCAATTTACACCACGAGTGTGAAAAACAAAAGTCCACTGCTTTCTCCTAAATGCATGGTATTTATTGCTTTCTTTGCAGATTAATCTTTCGTTTGGTCATAACTGGCATAGGATGCTACAACAGTCACATGAGCCATCTTCACACAGGTAGAGGGTTTTTTCAGTTGTTGCTGGATTTGCTTTTTGTTTTGCTTTGTTTTGTTTTCTTTCTCAAAATCTTGGTTTAGTTGATTAGATTTTAAATATATCCAAGAGCTTTTGATCATTTATTTTCCAGTTTATATCCTTAAATTTGTTCTATACACATTGCTCTTTCTCTTATCCTTCTGTCTATTGTTATTGTCTTTCCTTTTGCTTTCCTTTTTGCTTATGATTTACTCCACCAAGGAAATGTGCGCTATTAATCCTGGATGGTATTTGCTGTTCATTCTTTGTATGTCCAATCCTTCCTTTGTTCATTATGTATCTCATTTTTTTTTCTATTTCTCATTCCTACAAGCTTTACCAGTCAGGAATCTTTCATGTTGAATCTCAGACATTTCCTCGATAAGCATGAATACAAACCTATCATAGCAAAAGTCAAAAATATGTTTAAATGGTTTTCTTTCAAAACCTTATTCTGGTGTTTACTGAAACATTTAACTTGAAATTAACTTTTTTTGCTAAAGTGTAGAATTTATTGTGGATACTGCAGAATATGACATTTTAGTTGAAAACAAAATCACTGTAACTTATTTTGACTGATTCTTCTTAACATATTTTACTACATATGAGTCTTTCAGATATGGATATTGGCTGGACAGAATTCTTAAATTTAGGGACTTGTGCACAGAAAAATGAAGATTTTTTTTCTTCTTCTCAGCATTCAGAGTACCAGTTGATATACCTTTGAAACATTCAGTTTACAAACTGTAAATATCTGTATATGCTGAGTTTTTTAATAAAGTTTTTTTTGATACTTGAAACTCAAGGTTAAATACTCACATTGAGTCAAAGATTAAAGTATTTTTCTTCATGAATGCCTGAAGGCAGATAAATAGATAAGCTCAAGAAGAAAGAAAGAAAGAAACAAATTAATTACTTTGGGCTTGGCAAACTTGGTATAAAACCCCCTAGATATACTGCAATAAAAGTGTCACTGGATTTGTCTGTGTGCTTGTCCAGTGCAAGCTATATACCAAATATAAAGTTCCCAAATGGAAATATTTAAACATCTATTCTACTTTGGCCATATAGTATAAAACTGTACTGAAATCAGCAGAGATTTCTGCAAAAGGAAAATTTGCTTTTTAACAAAAGTAATTGATACCTTTTATCTGATTTTTATTCCTCAAATAAGAAGTAAAAAACGAAATGTGCTTGCATAGAGATAAATTTAAAGAACCCCTGTTTCAAGGAAAGAGAAATAGTTTCTAGTTTTTTCCTGGCTACACTATTATTCAGGCTCTCTCTGGGGAGCTATGTGATGTGTAGAGAGACCAGTCTTTGGGGAGTCAGGGACTAATTGATAGTAATTACAACGTTTCTTCAGAATTATTAGAGTATTTCAAATTAGAAATTTATGATACAGCATTTCTCCTCTGAAAAATTTTCATCCAAAAAGCAAATATATAGGGTACGTACCATCAGATAGTCAAATTAAATAATTATAATTAAAAAGTAATTGTCCATATGAAGGAAAAGATGGTTTTAATTATTCCAGGATAAAATAGTACTGTCCTATCAGTATGTTTGTAGACATCTTCAAGAACTACAGCTCAATATTTCTTAACAGACAGTCGAACAGATATGGACATTATTCTCTCACTTAACTTCAGAATTCCCTTTTATGTGTAAGTAATATGTGAATAAACATCCAGGCCTTTTCTACTCTGTGTGAACACTTTAGAGAGTGACCTTTGAAAACAGTGGCTCAGAATAGAAATGGATACTGACTTTGAAAGCTTCTGACAAAGTTAGCACACTGAGAATATGCTGCTATGAAATTAACAGTTCTGCCAGATGGTTTGTACCTGCAAGCTCTGCCATAATTACAATAACCTCATCATGTTCTTGGTCTTTCATCACCTTGAATATTTTTATTGCAGTTGTGCAGACATCTTTAAACAATTCACCTTGAAGAGTGGAACTTTCATTTGGGTGAGAAATGGCATCATAAAACTGCAAATTATGGAAATTGATAATCTCATATTGTTTCTAAGTTTTTTGAGTTCCTCGCCACTAGTTATTCCTTGCTAGGGAGATTGATAACATGTTTAACAGCTCAAGATAAATTTTGAGATGTCCTGAACATGGAACTTCCATTGAGCATGACATATGTTAGGACTCTTCTAAGATATTCACTCTCTCCTTGCTGCTAACACCAAAAAAATCCCACCATTTTAACGGAAACATGATCGTGCTTTTCCTCCTTACAGCTGTTGCAGATAGAATGGAAACTTCAGGCAAAGTTGACCCCTTGAGTCATGAGGTTTAGAAAGCACCTCCTTGCTTTCTAATCTCTGTCTCAGAAGAGTCTAGGTATGGCTGGATCCAATTCTAGTCCCAATCTTGGCCAAAGATTTTTTCTAAAGGACTATATAGATGTAATTGATACCTTATATGACTTTGTCAATTTATGTAAATATTATGTTTATTTTATATAAATATATTGATGTATCTATTGATTATACCAATAAATATATTTATATCATAAGATAAATTATTTATTTGAATTGATGATAATAGTTAAACCAAAAAGTCATTAATCAGAATTATTTGTTACACACTATAGCTATAAATAATAGTATAATGCCCTATTTATTAAATTGATAATTTCAAAGCTATCTTAATAATCAATAAGTAGAGATTGAGGTTACTCATCCATACCAGTGACAATGGGTAAATCTCTTTCACACAGCCTCGAGGAGTAACCTTCGAGGGCAGTTCCTCACTGGAGGGAGGAATCTCCATACACACCTCCAGAAGGAGTGTGCTAGAAATTCCTGCTGTTAAAAAGTGAGACCAGGCTTTTAAAAGTTAAAGCGATTGACTGTCCATCAAATGTTTCTAGGCTACCCACGCCAGCTCAGCTGCCTTTAGCACAGCAGCTTTAGATAAGTTATCAGTTCTATCACTTGTTGGTTTGTTTGTCAGGAGCTTTGTCTGCCACATCCTCACCAGTGTCAGTTTCTGTCAGAAAACACTATTTTTCATATCCTTAGAGTGCTTTGGGATTGTTGAGTCAGGCTGGTCTCAGCAATCCTCAACACCAAAAGCAGCATGAGCCCAAGTTAGAGCTGTTATACTCCCACTTGAGCAGACATCCTGCTACAACAACATATTTCGTTATCCTACAGCAGTGGAAAGGCAGAGGAGAACACTCATCGTCATTTTCCATCAGTGCTGTTCAGATTAGAAGAACTATTATAATTCTCACACTTCAGACACAAACACATTTTTAATCAAGTTTGTTTAAAAGAATTCTCATTGGGGATCCATTTTAATTCAGACAGTGCATTGAATATCCATATAAGAGTGACATTACCTAGACCTATAAATAAGTGTTCATTAAATTTATGAATTTTGCAAAAAAAAAAAATGTGCCAAAAGAGGGCTATTCCTAATCAAGTAATTCAGTGTCATTGAAGTCAACCTGCAGTCAGAAACATTAGGTGCTGATGACCAGGATCCGTCTGAGGTATACATCAGCAGGTCCTGCATTGGACTAGCTCTGTCATAGTCCTGTAAGGTGCCGTGAGGAGTGTTGAAGACAAGTCTTTGAGAATATCTTCCAGAGAGTACCTAAGGGAAGGTAGTTCAGTTCAGACATCTCCAAAATGTGAATTAAAGGACAGGGGAGGATAAGACTCTTTCGAAATATGTTCCTGGTTTGAACTCAAATGGTGCTAAGGTGTGAGGAATTGGATTTTTTACTTGCCTTAGAACATTGCTACTGTGCAAAGAAGCCTCCTTCCAGGAGATTGAAGATAAATGCTGAGGGGAGGAGGCCACAGCCCACAAATTGTTAGATTTGTGGAGGCCTGGGAGTGAGCCTCTGAGTATGTGATATTTATCTAAGGAAGGCCAGTGAGGACTCTCTGGGTGTGTGATACTTGCATCTTATGGGCCAGGCTGTGTCAAAGGAGGACCACCACTACCCTGGACAAGGCCTCACTTTTGTCAGGGGTGTCTCTGAAGCACTGCCCCCCCCAAGCCTAAAATGACTGTGCAAAAACCAGCACCTCCAGCCTCTGTAAAACTGTAACTTTGTAAAAATGGCCCCACCCCAACACATCGAGGAGGCACAATATAAACCCACTGGACTGTATGTTTCATGGGCTTCTTTCCCCCCACCACTCCCCATCTGTCCAAGACAACAGTGACAACCATCAAGTTTGTGGGAGACCTCTGGGTTGTGAATATAAACTCTTACTTTTTCTCTCTTTTTCTTTCACTCTTTTCCCTTACACATTTTCTTGGTTGATACCTTTATGCTTTTATGTTGCTGTATTACTATAGATAATAAAAACCAGAATGGCTACTTGTCTGTTTTCCTTTGCAACCAAATTGTTCTAAAATAAGCCATATTTATATACATGTATATATGAGATGCTCTGTAAATGCTGATCATCTAGTATCGATTTACTTTAATTCACCCTAAAGGATTTATTACCAAAAAAAAAAAGTTGCTTCTGCCTTATGGGACAGAGTGTAACTTAGGGAAACACTCAGAGATGATGGTTCTGTGAATAGAACTGCACGGCAGAAGCAAACACAAGTGACAGTTGACATTACACACCAAGTCATCACACCTCTAGGTTCCTCTGAAAGGGGTGATTCTATTCCTGAGACTGTCATTGCACATAGGTCAGCATCTCAGATGACATCTAGTACTTGTCCATGTACACTGTGAACTTGTCATTTACAGTAAAAGAAGACAGTGATCTAGTGAGGAGAGGGGTTCATTTGGCATTAAGGAATTCCTGTGCTCTAGACCACATGACTGATCCGAAGCAAGAGAAGAGTGAAACTGAACTCTATAGCCCTCCATAACACCAGTGAAACCAGGCACTCCAGGTCTGTATACATTTTTGGACCAAGGAGGTTTGATTCAGGTTTCTTTGTTCTGCAACACTGAGGAAGTTTCTTTGTGCTACATTTCATTACTTATAAAATTAATAAAATACTCTCTGCACAGTGGTTGATGGCATAAAGACTGTTAACTACTCCTATATTGCTCCAATGGTCTTGTACAAGAGTTATAGACATGAAGCTGTGAGTCAAAATACACATGAATGAAAATGAACTTAATGAATAGTCAATACAACATGGAAAGAAAATCAGAATAAAACCCAGAATGATTCTTGCTCCTGGACCTACCTGACAATTTTTAAGTTTTCTAATAGCACTTTTTTATTTCTACCCCAATACTGTGTGAAAGAACAGAAAGACAACTTGTAACACTGAAAAAGGGTATTTCATCTCTTTCCTAGGCCAACAAGACATAGTCCTTCAACTACAGCTTTACAGGGCAAACAGTGAAATTCACTATTTTCAGAATACTTTCAGGCTAATAAAGAGAAAGACTGAAGAAAGTATTTTCTGTTTAATCTCTTCCATTGCCACTACTCCTAGCTCTTGCTGTCACAAGAATAGTTAGAAACAAGTGTGAGGAAGAAGTGTGATTATATGGATTGTAACTGGATTATATCCTTTTAAATATCAATACATCATATGTGCTCACCCACCGAATAAAGCTTGCCAGCCAGCTGCCAAGTTGTTTAAAGTCATGCTAACAACCCATCAATTAACAAGTGGAATTGCTGCCTTCTGGTATGGAATATTTTGTCTCACTCCCACCTGAATTCACTCCACATCAGATCATTTCAGCCTAACTAATGCTAGATGGCAAAGTAACATCCAGCGTTTTGATTTAATTTAATACATCAGTTTCAATAAGTCGTATGGGGAAAGTTCGAGTCAACCCATACTAAGTGTCATATTGAGGATCCAGATCTCTCTTACATAAACCTATAGAAGTTCTTTTTATTGGATAGTTTTAGAAAAGGGGTTCTCTCTTCTATCTGAGCAGCTTGCAGGGGTGACCAGAGGGGAGACACATAATAATACAAAGTGACAATATTAGAGATAATGAGTTGTAAGAGAGAAAGGAACTTTCAGAGGTTTCTGGTTGCATTTACATTATCTGTGGTACTTATGTTCTGGGATGCAGTTGAACCCTTCATTGTCAGTAAAGGTGAACAAGAAAGGTTTAGTGCTTGCCATAGTTGTGGATAAAAATCACTTGAGAGGAATCACATGACCAACTAAATCTCTACAGTCTATTAATGCTGAGAATACCACTGTGAATGGACCCGGTGCTCTGTGGGGTGCAGGGCTCACGAAAAGCTGGTTATGACCTTCCTCCATATTAACATTATAAGACTCCGTGCATATGGCAGGTATAATCTCTTGTCACATCTTTCAAAGGAAGCAAGTGTGAGCATATGCTCTTGACTTTCTTTTTGAAGAAATGAATAGAACAAAGCCTGCTTCTCTCCATTTTGTAAAGGCCTTTATGGAAACTGCGATAAAATATTTTACAGAAAGAGAGGCAGAATAAAGAGAAAACGTTTTATAGAGCTAGCAATAGTTACTCTCATGCAGATAGCTAGGAGAAAATGACATACTCTATGGTGACAGAGAAAAGTAAAAGAACAAGCACACAGAAAGCCTAAAGCCCTGAGATGCAAGTGTTCTCCTTTAGCCCGAAGTGAACATGGCACAGAGGTGTGCTGTGCTGAGCAGAGGGAGGATTCAGTTGCAGGGTAAAGTGAAAAAGGAGGGTTATGGGGTGAAACACAAAGAGAGGAAGTAACTCAGTAGGAGGACGATTTCTGGAGCGAGGGGCAATGTAGGTAAAAGATGTCCTCCATCTGCAGAGTTTTCCAGAGAAAAGGCAAGACTGAAAGTGCATGCTGAGGGTTCATTTTGTGCAAGAGCTAAATTCTGATTTCATTTTTTAAAGTGTAAGTCCCTGAGTCTGATCCTCATTTTTCACTATTATTATAAAGATATAATTTCTTTGATTTTTGTCTAAGAATCCAGGTTCTTCTACATGTAATTTAAGATATTTACTGACTGTGCCTAACTTGAAATTCAAAATGTTTTTACTGAACACAGGTATCACTGCCTATTTTTATACTGCAAGTACATGGATGCAGGTTTCTAGTGCCAATACTTGGTACTATTATTTAGAAACTCAGATTCTGAAAGTAAATTCTCTCTGTAAACAATATAAGCAACAATACCATGCCAAAATACTTACAGGGAAAAAGAAAAACACGAACCCCAAGGAAGTATTTCCATTTTACAGAAAATACATTCTGAGTAAATTTAATAGCTTGAATATAAGATTTATTTTGAGGTTACTAAAGATATATATTGCCTTTCCATGTTTGTTTACAGGACAAATATAACACCAGAGAATTTATCTCCCTATAAGTGATTAGGTTCAGTTGTTTTGCCTTTCTGTTTGTAAAAGCAAGTTACAAAGCACCTTATTAATTATCAGTTTGTCAGACCAGTTGAATGGCTTTTTCTACAGGAGTTACTTCCAGTGGCTCCTAAGTCAAAACTAATGAGCTATTCCTGTGAGAGGTTTGCCCAGAATAGCTAACACTTC